ATAGCATTTGAGTATTTACAAGTTTCAAGGTCCACAGCAGGGATTTGACCTGAGGCTGGAGCAAATGATGCTATCTGATGATTAAATCACATTCTTTCCTAGATAGTGTGGGATGGGTTGGATCAAGGGCTTTCTCTGTCTGGTTCCTAGTTTTTGGTTGTTCCTTTCTAAATGATACTTTCTTTGCTGAGGGATTTGAATGCATTCAGCTTAGTCTACTCTGGCTCAGAGTTGTTTTGCCTTTAGGTGACTGCCTCTCTTTACTCTGTCTCATCTCTAGCTTGAACATAATGCGCTTGGGTTCCATGTATGTGACCAGTATTAGCCCATAACTTATTTGCATCTCTTGAAGACTTTTAAGGAATAAACAGTTGATAACATTCAATAGCATTTCTCAGACCCCTCTTTCCTTCCCTCCTCATTCTTTCACACGCTGGCTGCTCTGGAATTCCTCATTTGTTAGATCCCCCAAACACTTCTGCACAATCAACCTACTCGGGGACTTTTCTGTCTCCCGTATTTCTGGCATGTTTTTTAGTGTCCTTTCCTTTCCATTTATTGCCTGGATTTTCTTCAGCAATGGAAAGAGCCTAAGAACTGACACAGTAAGCAGCCACCCTCCTAGCTTTCTTCTCTCTTCTCTAGTTGTTGCTGGCTTTCCCTCTACCCTCATCCTCCTGGTTCTTATCACCAATGCAGGGGACTGGATTAGCTGAGAGTCTGCCCCCCATAGAGCGGGGGAAAGGAGGGGAAGTTGAGACGGACAAAGCCATAATTATTTTAATAAGCAAAATGAGGAAAGCTACAGTAGTCAGTACCTCATTTACTTATACCTCATTTACTTATCTACCCATTAATTTACTCAATAATTATTTATTGAGCACGTATCATATGCCAGAGCCTAAGACTACAGAGGGATGTAAGACGATGTAAGACACCATCCTGGTTCTCGTGGAGCTCACAGTCTAGAGGGGGAAGTGGAGCCAGTACTCCACTTCCACTCCAGTGGAGGGGGTGTGCTGGAGCCAGTACTCACCTACTTGGAAAAGCTGCTTGTTAAATTTTCAGGAATTTTTTCAGTTATTAAATAGAGCCAGTGTTAAAAATTAAATTATATAACTTATAAATAAGTTATATTAAAAACAAATGTAATAAGTATTCAAAACTCATCACTTCCTAATTATTTTACTATTATCTAGGCCTTTGAAGTTATTTCTATTTCTAAGGTATCTTATTGTAGAAATTCTTACACAGTGATACAATGGTGTGCTGTTGCACTCTTCCCAAATCTTGTGTTCAGTAATTCAGGTTGGTAGCTTGAAATCTGCCATGGTGGGAGTATTTACACCATGGAAATTGGCAAATGTTACAAATCAGGGTTCCCTTCCCCCCCCTCAACCGTTAAACATTTACCAGCACACACCGTATGGAGGAGATAGACAAGTAAGAGATAAGTAGAACACAATACAGAGGGAAGCACAGAATACTGTGGGAACACAGAAGAGGGGAAGCTAATCTAGTGGAGAAATGATAGGGAAGGCTTCCAGGAAGAGGCTTGAAGGGCTGGTAGGAACTAGCTAGACATGGGAAAGAATGGGTGGGGATAGAAAGTGTTTTCCAGGCAGACAAAACTTCACAAGGCAGAAGAGCCTGGTGTATTTTGGCTATTGTAAGTATTTTAGTACTATAGTCATGAGAAATCTTCAGGGCAATGATGGGATTATGAAGGGCCAGGCGAGGTCTCTGAGATTGATTCTGAATACAGTGAGGAATCGGTGAGAGGCTTCATGTAGGACGTGCCTCAATCACATTGACATTCTGGAAAGGTCACTCTGGAGTCTAGGAGGAGGTTATTATAATGATCCAGGCAAGACAGTGTATGCCCTGGAATGAGGTTGTGGTCGTAGTGACTGTGAAAAGGGAAAGAGGTGCAGAGATACTAAAGGACTTAGGATTGATAGGACTTGTGGATATATGTGAGGGTGTGAGAGAGAGGGAAGAAGATAGCAAGGATGACATCCCATGTAATAGTTTCTGGCTTGGATTGGTGAGCGGGTAGTGGGTTATGCCTCTGAGATAGAGAATACAGAAAGAAGAGGAGGTGTGAGGAACATGTGGAAAATGGCTTAGATGATCATTTCTGTATATTTCTATAGGAAAGAACAAGGATTCTGCCTGGCCTATACTTTCTCCCTACATCTGTGATTGTTGACCCATTTGAATCTTCAGTATGGCTCAACGTGAATACTGCTGGAACCCTGGACATTGGGCTACAAATGAAAGCTGCTTTGTTCAGCAGCTAGAGCTTCAGGTCTGGTGGGAGGGGTATATATAATTAACATCAACTGTGGAGAGGTAGGCTGCATACCTCTTGCCAGATCATGAAATCCTGAAGGCTAAATCACTTCAATTGGACTAGATGGGGGTTTCGTGAAGGCTGGTGTGGTTTTAATAGGGGCTGGAACCAGTTTTTTACTCCTGGAGAAATCAACCACTTTGTGCTTCGAGTAAGGGCATTTGCTGATAAATGCTTTTCAACAGAAAACATATTGTAGCTAAGTCTGCCCAGAGAAGTGTGTGTGTGTGTGTGTGTGTGTGTGTGTGTGTGTGTGTGTGTGAGATTTTGGCTGGGTCTGAGTAGGGTGAAAAGTATGGTCTTAGTCCCTGGACAACAGAATGAGATCATACCTCCCTGTGGTCTGTGTTCCACTAGTGAGGAGAGAGGATTCTCCAGCCTTATTTGGGATCAAGAACTGGGAATGCTGAGGATTGAGGTTTGATAGGGTAGAGATGGGCAATCTTCTGGGGACTAAGTAGTGAAGATCTAGAATGAAAGGAGGGCAAAGGTTTAGGGGAGGAAATGGTAGGATCTAGCAACTCTGTGCCTGGGCATGTGATCCTAGGCCGAGGCATATCAATGTGTATGTGTATTTACGTACATGCATGCACTATATTGCTGGAGGGTGTAGGCTCTGGTAGAAATAGCTTGAACTTCAAGGCAAGGACACCTGAGCTCAGATCCCATTTCTGCCCCTTATTGTTTGTGTGATCTTATTCAAGATTCTTAACTTCTCCAAGCCCTTAGATGTTCTTTCCTTAATTTCTTGCTCTCTGGCCTTGGAATAAGGAAAGACACTAACTATAAAAGAAATTATGCTTGTGGGATTTCTTACATTAAGTTTTTCATCTTTTCTGGGTGTTTCCTCTCTTTGATCACATTTTGTGGCTTGAGACTTTCTTTACCTGCTTAAACATACAATTCTAATAATTTTCCTTTGTGCTTCTTTTGATATTCATCTTCCTCTGCTCAGCCAATTTCCTTGTACGCAGAATCCAAACAGTCCCAAAGTTCAGATGTCCATGGCTTGCATTTGCATGCTGAACTGAAGTTGGGGAAGGAAGCCAAAGGGGGAGTCTGTTATGGTCAGACGAGCTGTGGGTTTGGCATGCTGGTTGTATTTGAATGTTCCTATGGCTGTGAATCCCAATGTGAGATCTATAGAGATTCTTAGGCCTCTGGAATATTCTCTTAACCATAGCAGCCCTTTTCTCTGGCCAGTTTGCAAGGCAAGGTGGTAACATGGACAGAGGCCCCCTATGGAAGGTCAAAGGAGATGACCCTCAGTGTCCTAGAGTTGGAGTGAACTGTGGGTCCTCAAATCTACACAAGTGGGGAAGATCCTGTTTCCCTACTAGCAAAACAAAGCTTAGCCTGATCCAAACAGAGGTAACTCCAAGGTCCCAGACTTGACCTTGGAGCTATATAGTTTCACCAGTTTGGGGAGAAAGTCCTTTCCTTGCTCATTCTTTTGATTCCTCCATTCCACCTCCCATAAAGTTGAAACATGTTGCTCAGGAGTAGTTGGACAGCTAGCTGGTACCCCATAGGGATTTGAGTGCTTTGTCTCTTGATTTCAGTACAGAGAGCATTGAGATTATGAGTGACATTTGCTAGTCACTACCTGCTCATTTAGTCTCCATAGATATCCTTTCTTTCTATAATAATTACAGTCCCTTGTCTTTCTATGGGACTGTGGTTTCCCAAAAGCTTTCACTCTTGTGCCACTATTCTCTACACCATAGCCAATGTGATCTTTCTAAAGCACAAATTTATTTACCTGCTTCCTGTCCACTTCTCTATTTAAAACCCTTTAGTGGCTTCTCATTGTTTCAGAAAGAAATCCAAACTCCTTAGCTTTGCTTATATGATACTTATAAGACTGCTCAGCCTTCTAGCCTTTTCTCTTGATAGTTTCCTCTAGTGCTCTCTAGTTTTACTAAACTGCCAGTACTTTGAACACACTTTGCTCTTTTTCTCCTCCAGGTCTTTGTAAATACTATTTCCTCTGCCTGGAATACTCTTTGTCTTCCTTTTTACCTGGTTAATTTATGCACTTTCTTAAGGTCTCAGCTTCTGTGGAGTTTTCCCGCAACCTGCTATCACTGGGATAGTTGCCTATCTACTGTTCTGTAGCTCCTATTGAATCATGATACTTAAAAGATATGATGCTTAAATGTTTACTTGACATTCTCTTCTACTGAACTCTAAGCTTCGTGAAGGCAGGGACTGTGCCTTGTTTACCATTGTGTTTCCCTTAAATCTAAATATAGTACCTGGCATATACATATAGTAGCCTCCATTAAATGTTTGTTGAGTGAACAAACATTTCTGTGAAGTGAGTGATGCAGTGTTTAGTCCCCTTCAATTTTGAGGATGGAGAGACGGAGGATAAGGACCTCACACAAAGTCACAAAGTACTTGGTCGAAGAAACTGAGCTAGGAACTGCCTTCCTCCAGAGGAATGCACTTTTCACCGGAAGATCCTGCAGAAATTCCTGACCCAGTAAGTTTTCTTTCCTGCTGGGTTGGTGTGAGAACAGGCTGACAGAGGTGCTCCTGGAGGGTGGGTAAGTGCATGGACTTGTGGCACTTGGAGGCATGGAATGGGTTTACCAATGTGTGATCGTCTCTTTCCCTCTCTCTTCCTTCTTGTTCACAGCATCAAGCTGAGCTCCCAGTCCCTGATACAGGCTGGGGATGATGAGAAGAACCAGAGGATGATCACTGTCAACCCTGCCCACATGGGGAAGGCATTCAAGGTTATGAATGAACTGCGGAGGTACTTTTCCTATCTTACCTGTGCCCTTTCAGAAGGAACTTGCTGGGTGAGCTTCATCAGGGGCTGAAAACAGAAGTTAGAACACCACTTCCTAGGAAATTCTGACTCTTCCCCACCTACTCTCAGTCACTTGGTTTCCCCTTTCAAATTCTGATTAAGACAAAATGGCTTTTTCTTG